CTAAGCTATGTGCATGTTAAGCACATACAAGTAATGCAGAAACATATATAATTATCAGAATTTTGAAGTTCCATAGAACCACGTATGGCTGTTGCTTTTTACACCTAGCCTACGTGCCAAATAAGTTCATTTTCAATGTTTTGACAAGACATTTTAAACTCAACTTTGGAGGTTATACATTATTTTCAACAAAATTCTTAAATAATCTTTTAAAGACGATTTCTAAAGTAGAAGTCTAAACGCCAAATGTTAGCTAGTCCAAAATGTAATTTTAAATATAATCATATTTAGCTTAATCCCATGTAAACACAATATATGTATTTTTCTTCTGATATAATAATGTTTATTTTATACAAGTTTGAGGTGAATGAAAAATAACAGTATAAAAAAACATTGTTCTTTAAGAAGTTAAAAAACTGTAACAAATAAGTTAGTATTAGTTCCCTAATATTTACTTTTTATCAGAATTAATATTAAAATTAAGTATATATATATATATATATATATATATATATATATATATATTATATATTATTTTATAACTATTTTACGTATTTCTGTGGCAAAAAGTTCTTTGTCTAATGCCATCTCTCTCTCACACACACACACACACAACTATTTTACGTCTTATGCTCATTTTTAATATGTTTCCAAAGTATGTTTACTTAAATAAAGTTCTTGTTTGTGTAACACCTTATTACGGGAGTGTTCACCCAAAATAAAACCCGTTCTTTACCTAAATGCAGTTGAACAATATTCCCTTCTGCATCATTTAAACCGGCATAATAAAATTTACTGCCTTATTCAAACTCGAACTAGAAATTTTGTAGTCGCTTACAGAACCCCTTCCGAGTGAAAGTAGTCTACTTTTTCGGATTTCGCCTTATTCTTTTAGTTTTTTTTTTCGAACTATTTAAAAAGGGGTTTTACAGCATCCCTTCTAGTCATAAAAAAGAAAGTACCATTGAGTAAAGTTTTTATTACCTTGCAGATATATCCAAAGGGTTTACTAAACAAGATAATAGACTTTCTCGAAACTGGAAATTGTGAAAGTTTTATCAGTTGTACGAAAAGCAGAAGGAATAATGCATTTTTGAGCTTTGTGTTAATGCTTTTTTCGAATTACAAACTACAGGGTGAATCGGTCGCGTTTTTACCAATTTTTTTATTTTAAGAGTAATAAATAAATTTTAAATGTATTGCCTAAATGGCATTGGACTTTGGACTTTTTATTTTAAGTCATTGGAGATTGGCCTTTACGAAAACATAACCTTAAAAAAAATGTTATTATTGTAGTGGCCGCTAAAGCCCTTCTGTTTTTTTATTTTAAATGAGTTTACTGCAAAAAAAGCAAAAAATGTATTTAAACCAAACTAAAAGGCTCTAATCTTTAATAAAAGACTCCGGACAACTTGGACGTTTCTGATGATCAAGATCTTAATTATAGTCCAGATGAAAACGATAGCGAAGAGGATGAGCCTATTTTAACAGTTTCAGTTAAAAAAAAATCAAGGAAACGACTGAAACGTATTTAAGATTGGAAGCAACTTAAAAGACAGAAACAAAAACGTAAAGGTGGGGAATATAAAACTAAAAAAGGAAAGGTAACGAAAGCTAAAGTATTACAGTCAGTATGCCACTGTAGGCGAAAGTGTTATAAGATTGAGAATACTCAAAGACACAATATATGTTCACGATTTTTCCAATTAAGTAGACACGCTCAAGAGAATGTGTTAGCGGAAAGTGTGGAAGAAAAACTCAATAAGCAAAGGCTGGCACCAGAGAGAATGGAAAGCAGGAGATCTTTTTCTAGGAAACATTTTTTAAAATATTCTACAGGAAACCGAACAGAAGTTTATCAAAGCATGAATAACACCAGCTTAGGCACAGCTAGAACAATTAACAACTTAGGCAAATGCATTAAAAACAATATGAGAAAAAATAAAAAGCACTTACACAGTAGTGTATACAAACTTAAATGTGGCAACTGTCCAAAAACTTACATCGGTCAAACTGTAGAACTTTTAACAAACGTATAGCAGAACATAAAAGGGCTTTCAATAATAGAAAAACAGACTCTACATACGCACATCACCTTCTAGATCATAATCGTTCTTTTAATGACGAATTTCAAATTCTTTACATCCAAAATAAGCTATCTTTATGAAGATAGGTAAGTGGAAATTAACAAATTAAAAAATACAGACATATTTCTGAATCACCAACTTAAGACAAACAGTACTTTCTTCCTCGACATATTCAGTTAATGACTATAAAGTGTAAGCACATACCAAAAATAGATCACTTGAGAAACGCAGTCTGCCGAAACAGCTGTAGGGATAAGATATTACAATAAATTTTGTGGTGGTTTTAAAGTTTTCAGTGTTTTATTGTTATATATAACTAATTTTAAGTTTACAATGTTTCACTTATCAAGAATTTAAGTATTTTCCATTTTTTGATCTTTCCTATTAGTTCTGTTGTAGATGTTTCATTGCTTCTCTAGCAATGGTATATTGTGATTTTCAGTCCATTTCATTTTCAATTTTCAATCAATTGTGAAGCGTCTTAAGGTCTTGAAAATTTGAAGTCACATCGCTTCTTGCGATGATAGCGTTCATTTTGAACTATTTTGTATATAGTTGAAGGTTGAATTTCTGTTAAATCAGAAGTTGCTTATACCATCGCTTTTTTATCTAATCCGTATTTCTGATGTCGATTTTTGTAAACATTGAAACACAGTTGCCGTGTTTCAGCAATTAAATACATTCGAAACTTCTTTACGGCTACCTTTTTTCAATAATTACATTCACACGAATATTTTCAACCACATCGCCCCACAGACGTTACATTATTATTTAAAATAATTAAATTTGAGCAAACAACGCCCTACACTCTATTAGACGAACTGCTTCCCAACTAAAACGCTCCTCCCCGACATTCGCTCGGTTGTAAAAAAGATAAGGTTGGATCAAATTTCGCGTCTTTTAAAGCGTTCTACTCTGTTCCCGCGACTGCACATACATACATACATACTTAAATACATACTTATACAATACATACTTAGGATAAGTATATTTTATAAGTCTTCTTCCTACTTAATTACTGATAGGTTTATTTACGAATGTTTCAAATGCGCATTACTTCTTATTTGATGTTCAGGTTATCACTCCATCTGTTTCTTGGCCTTCCTACGCTTCTCAGATTATCTTGTGATCTCGTGCTATTTTTCAAATATATATATATATATATATATATATATATATATATATATATATATATATATTGTACTGTTGGCTTTACTTATCTGTCATATTAAATTTTCTTATTGGTAGATTCAATTTATATAGGGCGTGTAGATTATCTTCATTCTGATTAGATGATATTTCTTCGTGCCGTTTGTTCTAGTTATTTTGATATAGAACCGATCTTAGCGTATGAATTCTTTATACACGTTAATCTCTAGAACTTTGTCGTAAGATCTTTGTACTAAAACGTATTGATTACATTGGTAAACACACAGTTTGCTCCCGGAAATTTTTTTACTGTTTCTAGGTAATTTGGGTCTGTTGAATCCAAAAATGCCACCAGATTTCTCCATTAGATCGTTTTCAGAAAATACGACAACAGATCACATTTCTAACATATAGGGTAATTTAACGCAGCACTACCTACATATATGTAGTGCTGCTACCCATCAAATAAACAAAACACGGATAAAAAGTAAGATATTTATTGAATAATAATATACTTTCAAATTTCATCACACATATCTGCTAAAAAAACTTACCAACTTCATCTAACTTTACAAGCATCACAGCCCAAATATGTTATTCGGCGTCACTTAAAAAATTCTTTTTACAGGATTTCTTCTTCCTTCTATCATCATGTGAGTGTCCCATCTCCCCTGATACATCTCTTCCATCGTTTTGATATGTTGGTGGAAGCGTTCCCTTGTTCCTTACTAAGTGGCTATGGGGGTAATGAATTTTAATACTCACATGACAACTGTGTTTGTTAAAATTGTTGAGCATTTCTTCCACTATATCCCGGTAATTTTCCGTTTTATTGTTTCCAAGAAAATTTTCCACAACTTTCCCATGCATTCAATTTCAGTCATTGATTCTGTAAAATGCGAATCTTTTATAAGTTGTATCTGAGACCCATCAAATATTCCTGCTTTCAATTTTTCGTTACTAAGTGCAGGAAATTTGCTGGACAAGTATTCAAAACAAGGATGATTCTGGTTTAAGGCCTTTTTAAATTGTTTCACCAGCCCTAGTTTAATATGTGACGGAGGTAATATTGTTTTAGTCCTGTTTTAGTTTTGTACTTAGCCCTGCTATCCCAAAGACACAAGAAAAAAGAATATTTTGTATAGCCACCTTGTTGTTCCAGGAGAAAGTTCACCATCTTAAAATCAACACAGATCGCCCTTTAAAGTTAGTCATACTTGATGTTTTTTGCACCAGCGATATTGTTTTATATTTTTCTTTCATTTTTCTAGAATGCCCAATTGCTATACTTCTGGTGTATACTCCGATATACCCATTTTTTCTAACAATCCTTTAATATTGTTATACAAAACCATATCATATTGATGAGAACAAAAAAACAAAAGTTCTTCTCTATTACGTATGTAATTTTGGTATCTGGGTGAAGAAGATTATTTTCCTTTAGTCTGGAGTCAAGCAACTCAGAAGAATCTTTTGGAAGGTTCAAATCTCTGAATAGATCGCCTAACTCTTCCTAAGTAAAGCGTTCAGGACTTGTTGAATCCGCTTTAAAATCTCTGTCGTCTTCGTCGGTTATTTAATATATTTTGTAAATGTTGAACTTAATTAAAGAAATACCAAATATACAAAAACTATGGGGTGCCTTACACAATATAATTATTTCATAAATATAACAATAACGTATATATTCATACAAACGTGTTTTATTTTTGACTAAACATCATGTGTTTTGATTCTTGCTAATGTTCTTTTTTTTTGTTATAGGTCCTAATGGTTGTCCAAGACGACGAGGCCGACAGACATACACCCGCTTCCAGACCCTAGAATTAGAAAAAGAATTTCATTTCAATCACTACCTAACCAGAAGGCGACGCATCGAAATCGCCCATGCTCTGTGCCTAACGGAGCGACAGATAAAGATCTGGTTCCAGAACAGAAGGATGAAACTTAAAAAGGAACTGAGAGCCGTCAAAGAAATCAACGAACAAGCGAGAAGAGAACGCGAAGAACAAGAAAGACACAAACAGCAACAGCAAGAGAAGCAACAAAAGATGGATCAGAACATCCACCAGCACCACCACGATCCGATGAAAATGAACATAGAAAAATCGGGTAGCTCGGATCTCCTCAAAGCAGTGTCGAAGGTTCCGACATAAAGGAGTTTTTAATGGTGATAGGTTTTTTTGACTTTGTGTTATATATATACGTAGATCAAAGTGATTATGTCGATGAAAAATCGGACTTCTGGAAAGCGGTTTTTTCGAGATTGTATCATTAGTTGCGATATTATTTTAGTGCTGGTTACTTTATAGAAATCACTTTTTTCCTTTGTTATTCCACAAATCTCGCTTAAATTAGTTTCATTGGAAAGCATCAAATGCTATTTTCCACAAATATACAATAAAAATTTATTTATAAAATTATTTTAGAGAAAGAAATCCAAATAGTATTTCCATGTAGTTGATCCAACTAAATCTAGTAAACACTAAAAAAATTACAAGAGATAAAAATGAAAGAAACGAATTATTAAAAACTTTTTTTAATCAAAAGTTTGACGCCATTATCTTCTGCAACATTCAATCGTTGCAATCAATATTGTACTTACTACATTTCCTTAGCAAAATATCATTTATTTATGTTATAGTAATCCACAAAATCATTTCTTAAATATAATTTGCAGATTGGTCTTCAATTATCATTGGTCGAATCAATCGCCATTACATTTTTTTCCTTATATGAAGAAGTTCTTCAGTTTATTTTTCATTGGTATTATTAATGTAAATATGTTCCATGTTTCATACTCCTTGTTTGTACTAGATTGTACTTTTTAATTTTGTCCCCATTTTTATTCCGTTATAGTATTTTAAATTATGTAATATTGAAAAGAAAGATATTTTATTGTTTTATTGAGTCCCTTTTCTTCTTCTTCTAAACGGTGTATCGTTAATTGTAATTTGGGCGTTTATGCCGGTGTTGTTACTAATGATCTTTTTTTTGTCTTCTTGCAATTTAATTTTAGGCCGTATTTGTTACATGCTTCTACAACGTTCTCCATCATCCTCTGGAGTCCCTTGGCTCTGATGGCCGTTGGCCAGTTTCAGTAATCCCATCTTCTGATTCGTCCAAGGCCTGTCAAAAGTCCCTTTTCATTATATACAATCGACTGGTAATTTTTATGCTAAGGAAATAAATTTTAAAGGTCTCAGTTCTCAATCTCTCATTCCTATTTACAAATTTTCCATAGAATATATAACTTGTTACTAGTTTTTTTTTGTTTTCTTCGGAACATTATAATGTGTGGCATATGAAAGAGATACGGATAAATCATATCTGAGTATGAAGCATACACATCTTATAAATAACAGGTAGACTTGTGTACTTCATCGGCATGACTCATAGCTCTTGTCAAAATCCATAACCTCTAACTCTTGTCATTCTGTTGTGTAATGTCTTGTCATTATACCACAGTAATTTAAAAGAACTATCAATGTCGAGTCTTCCTTAACAAAGTAACATAATTTTTCCTGCACTTATTATTTAAACATTCGTCAAATGGCGATATCCATAATAATGTTTAAAATTAGATTGTTTTCGATATATTCCAACAATGTGATATGTATTAATAACTAATGATACTCACATATTAAATATTCTTAGTAATGATTATGAGATTTGCTAAAATGTTTACATTGGACAACCGACTTCATAACATTAAAAAAGAATGTCAAAACATACATCGACTAGACAACATTTGAACCTTTATAGTTTTAAAGTTTTAAAAACATTAGTATCTCCAGTGAGATATTTAAGCAACCGATTTGTGGAAAAATGTAATAAGTGATTTAAAATTTGACCAGCAAACTGACTTTTTGCTGCTGTTGTCCGTTTGAGTTGTTGCGTTCACTTATTCGAACTTTTCCGTGAAAAAGTGTAGCGCTGATTCTACCAGCAGTTTTTTTGAGCTTCGTTGTGTTTTTAATTCGTTGTATATAGGGGTAGTGTGTTCACGTTAATATTTTTATACTTAAAAAAGTAACTATATTCCGTTTATATTGAGTTTTTTTCTTTTTTTATTACGATCAGTTTTCTGATCTAAACTTGACGTTATTTTACGTACCGTTGTTGTGATTAAATATTGCTCTTTTGTTTTTATTATACTGCATTTGTAAATGTTAGTTTCGTCTATTTGTTTACCGATGGGTAGCTTCAGTTGTCCTGTATTGAGTTTAAAAAATAATCTTTAGAATTCAATCCAAAAAAATACAAAATCAAAAACATGTGGCTTTACAATTAGTACATCATTAGGAATATGTCATTTTGTTGGAAGTTATGATTATTATTATGTAATAAAAGGCAAATAAAATTTAAATCCGTAGAAAAAATACAAATATTAAACATGTAATGGTTTTTTTTTTACTTCCGATCGTCATTACACTGTAATTTTTCTAAACAGTAAATTTTTCATTGAACAAGTATCAGAATCAGATGGGTATTCAGTCGAGTGAAGTCAAATGATAATAATGAGGCTAAAATTGCATAGAATGTAGAGGAAAAGGCACTAATTTCAATTAAATTAGTTCAGTTTTTATCTAGTTTAAGCTGTGAATAATTATGTCAAAATAATATAACTAATATTAAATTTAAACATAATAAATATTTGTATTTAGTTTCCTTTAGAACCTCTACACATTGTGATAGTACAACACCTCATACTCATGTAGTGATAGTTACGTCACCGAACTGTCCTTGTGACGTAACTATTTTTCTTACCTAAACCATAATTTACGGATGATTTAATGTCCAGGCATATTGTCTCATTTAAATCTAATTACATTTGCAGTAACATTCAACAAATTTGACATAAAACTAATTATCTAGTTAATTGCCACGTTGCTTTTACAACACCGACCATAATTACTAAGAGACGTATTAACTACTATAGTAGTGAAGTTTCCATTATCTGCAGGTGTTGTTTAACACGTTAAGCGCCACTATAGAATGCGAAAATGGGGTCACTCTCGCCAAATTGGTATTATTGTCGAATTCAATTCTTTCTGACATTAGTTAAGAGCGTAGGCGCAAAATTTCGGGCCAATGCTTTTTAAATGCATTCATTTTTTTCGAATCCTGAGAAAACTACTAAGTATTTTTGAAAAATTTGAACTCAGAATGAAAGATGACATTATTACCGAGGGCCGAAAGTCATTGAAAACTTCTATAATGTTTATTTTATTAAGTTACAGGGGTGAAAAAAAAAAGAGAAAATTATGTGTGATTTTTAATTTCAAGTATCTTATTCAAAAGAAACTGTTTGTTTATTCTAAGGGACTTTCGGCCCTCGGTAATAATGTAATCTTTCATTCTGCGTTTAAATTTTTCAAAAATAATAATTAGTTTTCTCTGGATTCGAAAAAAATTAATGGATTTAAAAAGCAATGTCCCGAAATTTTGCGCCTACACTCTTAGCATTTATTGCAGATATTTTTAAACACTCATTTTTTTATTCCACAGGACGTTTCAAAGTGAGGATAATAAAACCACGTTTTAGTTAACCCCGTACAATAAGTCAAATATAAAATTTTATCAAAAAACTGACTATACCAAATTAAAATTTATAAAATGAAAAAGACAGCAAATATTTGATTTCACGCAAACAACTCCTATGTATCTGTTGATACGTATTTCGACCTAATAGGTCTCATCAGAACAGTTATTCATAGGTGTTCTCAACGTGAAAAATCAATATTTCCTGTTTTTTAAGAAGCAACAATAAAATGGCTTCAATACGGACGCGATAGCAACATCTAATTATAAAATCCGTAAAATAGTTTCGAAACAAAATTCAGATTTCTGCTTATAATCTGAGCCTTCTAAAAATTGCAAGGCAAACAGACGTTGATAAAAGATGTTAAAAGGGACATGAGGAATCTAAAATTTGCATTCCACGACATGTCTTTTACAACTACGCAGAAATCCTTAGCGAATTGTGCTTCTTGTACTCAAAAAATATTTGCTATCTTTTTCATTTTATTTCGGATATACTCTGTGTGAGTACAAGAAGCACAATTCGCTAAGGATTTCTGCTTAGTTGTAAAATACATGTCGTGGAATGCAAATTTTAGATTTCCCATGTTCCTTTTAACATCTTTTATCAACGTGTGTTTGCCTTGCAATTTTTAGAAGGCTCAGATTATAAGCAGAAATCTGAATTGTGTTTCGAAACTATTTTACGGATTTTATAATTAGATGTCGTTGTCGCGTCCGTATTGAAGCCATTTTATTGTTGCTTCTTAAAAGACAGAAAATATTGATTTTTCACGTTGAGAACACCTATGAATAACTGTTCTGATGTTATTAGGTCTAAATACGTATCAACAGATATATAGGAGTTGTTTGCGTGAAATCAAATATTTGCTGTCTTTTTCATTTTATTTCGGATATACTCTATGTGAGTACAAGAAGCACAATTCGCTAAGGATTTCTGCTTAGTTGTAAAAGACATGTCGTAGAATGCAAATTTTAGATTCCCAATGTCGCTTTTAACATCTTTTATCAACGTCTGTTTGCCTTGCAATTTTTAGAAGGCTCAGATTATAAGCAGAAATCTGAATTGTGTTTCGAAACTATTTTACGGATTTTATTATCAGATGTCGCTATTGCGTCCATATCCAAGCCATTTTAGTATTGCCTCTTAAAAGACAGAAAATATTGATCTTTCACGTTGAGCACACCTATGAATAACTGTTCTGATGAGACCTATTAGGTCGAAATACGTATCAACAGATACATAGGAGTTGTTTGCGTGAAATCAAATATTTGCTGTCTTTTTCATTTTATTTCGGATATACTCTGTGTGAGTACAAGAAGCACAATTCGCTAAGGATTTCCGCTTAGTTGTAAAAGACATGTCGTGGAATGCAAATTTTAGATTCCCCTTGTACCTTTTAACATCTGTTATCAACGTCTGTTTGCCTTGCAATTTTTAGAAGGCTCAGATTATAAGCAGAAATCTGAATTGTGTTTCGAAACTATTTTACGGATTTTAAAATTTATAAATTTATACACAGTGTGTTAAAAAAATCATCAAAATAGGGCTAAAAATTAAAAAAATTGAAATACTTTGAATTTGGCCAAAATTTTCTCTGTTGTTTTTTTG